ACTAGCTTCTGCCAGCGGCTTCGCCCGCGATCCCAGGGGGAAAATGCCAATGTATTACATTTACATCACACCATACTCTACCTCTGTTCCGAATTTTTATTATAAAATGGAGTAACTTCTCCCGTTTTCCCAATATTTCCCTTCACTGCTCTGCTCCTATTGATCGTAGCGTAATGAAAAGTATACTATAACCTGCCCAAGAGTATGAAGAATAATTGTGCCAAATTTCGTTAAAATCCGTCGAGTAGTTTTTGTTTCCATAACGAACATACAGACAGACAGACAGACAGACAAAAATTTTACTGATTGCATTTTTGGCATCTGTAGCGATCCCTAACCACCCCTTGATAGTTATTTTTTAAATATATTTTATGTACAGAATTGACCTCCCTACAGATTTATTATAAGTATAGATAAATGTTATCAATGATTGATCAATCGTGTTAATTACAACAAATTAAACGTGTTCGAATAAAAAGGCCTAAATATACTATTTTAACATGCGACTTCTCATGTTTTCCAAACCACATGGGGGTAGGCAGAGACTATGGAACGCCAATTACTACGATTCCTACATACCTCATTCGCTTCATCAACAGTCGTCAATTTTTTCATGCATGCTCGTATTTTTTTTTGTTAAGGGGCAAAATCATCGAGTTACTGCCCCTGCCTGGGTGAGGGGGAGGGAGTGTCAGACTCTTACTGACTAAAAACCACCGCGTTCCTACTCCTGCACTTCGAGCCGGAGCCCCGGTAACCCGTTAGGTTCCCCGCGACTCCGTATCGGCATCAGCCCTATTGGGCCCCATCCCTGGTGGTCTGATGGCTCTTTGAGGCGCGCGCGGAACACGACGCGCCGTACGTTCGGGTCTGGTTCTGGTCGGGCGGCGAGCCACCCGTGCACATCGTCCGCAGGCCCGCGCTTACAGTGGCCGGAGGTCGTCTCGCGATCCCCGACGCCAGGAGTGTCCGCGCGCGCCTCAAAGAGCCTCACCCAGGCGGGAGAAGTAATTCGATAATTTTCCACCCTAAAAAAAATATATAACTATGTACATATGTCCGTCAGTCTGTCTGTAAAAATAATACAACATCCGCGAATGCGTAACCCCAATCGTACGTATATCTTAGAAATAAATACACATACCTTTATCAAAATTTACTGATTTTCATAAATACATTCGTTTATCTAACGATAAGGTATCGATAATGCAAAGAGTAAGTAATATAGTAGAGTGGTTCATTCAATTCACGTGACGTTTTATGCCTATGGGAAGTCACTTATCATCAACAGCCTATAAGTGGCCACTGCTGAACAATGCCACTTATTCTCACACGGAGAAGGTTTGAGTATTAATCACCACGCTTGCTCAATGCGGGTTGGTGATTTCAAACTTTTAATTAGAAATTTTAAGCCCGGGTTTTCTCACAGTGTTTTCCTTCACCGTTTGTCAGTGGTGTCTAAATAATCTTAGTAAGTACATATAACTCGGAAAAAATCACATTGGTATTTGTCTTTCGTTGGTCGGTTTTGAACCCTCATCTTCATGCATGAGAAGCGGGCGTCTTAAACCTCCGGGCCACATACATTTCGAATTATAAGTTTCAAATCGCCAATGCGCATTGAACAAGCGTGGTGGTTCCGAACACGAAGAGGCACTTGGTCAACTGTGGCCACTTATAGGCTGTTGATGTTGATGATGATAATGAATTAGAAATCGACGTGAAGCAACGCTTGCGTTGTGTGAGTGAGGTTACCGGAGGCCCAATTCCCCTCCATTCCCCAATCTCCCCAATCCCTGAATCCCCAACGATCCTCAAACTCCTAATCCCCAAAATACCGGTAACGCACTTGTAACGCCTCTGGTGTTCCAGGTGTCTATGGGCGACGCCGATTGCTTACCATCAGGTGATCCTTCGGCTCGTTTACCGGTTTATGCCATAAAAAAAAATTAAAAAAATAAGTCCAGGTTTCCTCACTACGTTTTTTATCACGTTTGTTCAAGGCGGATTGCTGCGAAAAGCATTGTTATGAGTATAGCTACAAATGCAATTGAAACAGATGAATAAACCTAAGTTGTCACCAGTTTCAGTGAATAATCCGGACTTGCGGGTTTGCGGACGACTTAGCGGGGCTCCGGCTCGAAGCAGGAGTAGCTGAACGTGGTGGTATTTAGTCAATAAGAGTCCGAGGCTCCCGCTCGCGTCACCCAAGGCGGGAGAAGTCATTGGATGGTTTAAAGTTTTAACCACCTCAATAAAGCTTCAAATGGCGGAATATTTAGTCAGTAACAGTCTGAAACTCCATCTCGCCTCTCCCAAGGCGAGGAAGTCATTGGATGGTTAGACCCCCTCAATAAAGCTTCAGATGGCGGAATCGAGGTGGAATTTTCCGAAGGCACGAGATCACAGTTTTCTGTGATCTCACAGCCGCGGTAGCGATCTTCGACCGCAAACTTGAGGTTGATTATCGCAAGACGAGTAGACGGTTAAACAATTAGTTGAGTTCCAGCCCGCCCCTCCCATTGCGATTGCCCGACAACCGATCGCAGAGCGCGCAGGTGCAAGCCGCCGCGGCTGCGGGACCGAGGCCGCGCCCGCCGCCGCTTCAGCGGTAGCCGCAAAAATAAACACGCCGTGAAAATGCCTGATTGCTTTGATTTTTTACATACATATCTGTATTCTACAACGGCTGCGGGCTCGGAACCGCGGCAGCCGCGGGAGAAAATCACGCCGTGAGTACTTAGCCTCAGTGAGTTAATAGGCAAGAAAGTACGCGGACTTTTATGCCTATCTGTAATTTCAACAGTTACATTATCTTTGGTAACGAATATCTTAGATATGTCGTAGACGTAAGCCCAAACGAGTCGGTTTCCACAATCTCGTCACAGTTTTTTTTATCGAGTCAACAAATTTTTTTAGTTCTATATTATTTTAAATGTAGTGTGGACGTGTATTTAAAAGATGGTGTCGTGTAAATTATTAAGTTTCAGCGCGTTTTTCGTGCTCTCAGTTAGTGTTAAATTAAGTGTCACTCAGGTAGATGTTGGTAAGTCTTTTTCTAGTTTTGTTCTAAGTTCAGTATGGGTGAATTTGTGAAATGAATAAAGGGTATAACCTGCGTGTCTTCAAGGCCCGAGTGAATAGGTTGCTCATGTAGACGTGCTCCATCGTAGACCGCATCATCGTGCACCACCAGGCGAGATAGTGGACAAACGTCGGCCCACCAAACATAAAAGAAATGTCTTCTTTGATTGTGTTGACGCCAATCCGATTGCCGCACGTGAGATATGAAGTTCAATAACCGAAATCAATTTTGAAACCAAGTTTGGAAATAATGAATTTCGAAGGGATATCACAGCTTCGCAGGAAACCAGCGTGATACAACGTTTGCGTTTTCGAAATGTGAGTGAGGTTACTGGAGGCCCGGTCTCCCAAATCCCCGAAAATTTTTCCAAGTTATATGTACTTTCTAAGATTATTTAGAGACCACTGACAAACGGTGAAGGAAAATATCGTGAGGAAACCTGGGCTTACAATTTTTATTTCAGCTTGAAATCGCACATCCGCTTTAAGCAAGCGTGGTGATTAATGTTCAAACCTTGTTCGTGCGAGAAGAGGTATTTGGTCAGCAGTGGCCACTTGTAGGTTCTTCTGATAATGGCGATATTGATGATAACTTTTTCATAATTATATTTCAGGTACAGACACGACAAGTCCGGACCCACTATCAACAACAATATGTACGACATGCTCCTGCGCAGATGGTGTGGTCAACTGTATGAATCTGAACCTCACTACATTTTTTGAAATTCCTGATTGGGATGGTAAGAAATACAATCGTACATATATGTATATGTCTTTTTTTAAAGGGGGGAAAATCATCGAATGACTGCTCCCGCCTGGGTGAGGCGGGAGGGAGTGTCAGACTCTTACTGACTAAAAACCACCCCGTTCCTTCTCCTGCACGTCGAGTCGGAGCCCCGGTTACCCGTTAGGTTCTCCGCGACATATATATATATATGTCTAGCAACATACGAAATACGTAATATATAAAACAACATATATTGTTTCATGTTAAACAGTTATTCACACTAATCACACTAATTATAAATGTAAGTTTGTTTGAATTTTTGTCCGTCAATCACGTTGATACTACTAAATGGATTTTGATGAAATTTGGTATACAGGCAGAGTATGGGCTGACTTAGGTGATAGGATACTTTTTATCCCGATTATGATTTCATGGGATTTTTTTAAGGGGGGAAAATCATCGAAAGTCTTCTCCCGCTGGTTGAGGCGGGAGGGAGTGTCAAACTCTTACTGACTAGAAACCACCCCGTTCCTACTCCTGCACTTCGAGCCGGAGCTTCCATGTGATAAAACAGCAATATGCGCGCAAGACCGTGGGTAAAAGCTAGTGAGCTCTGTTCTAGAAATCAACCCCTTTCGTTTGATACCCCTAATGGAGGTAGTTGTGGAAAAAAATAGATAATATTGTATGGTCATCAAGATTAAGAGTGTGTACCAAATATCAGATCGATCTGACGTCAGGAAGGGGGTGAAATTACAATTATTAAATTGGACCCGTACAAACAAACTGTGTTGATTCCTTTAATCGGAATATTTTTTGGAAATTAAGAAACAAAATATATTTTTCCAGGTCTCAAGGATTTCAAACCTCTATCAGTGAATCTAAGCCAGAATTCCATCACACACATATCAAGGATATCAAAATTACCTATCCGAGAATTGAACCTGTCTAATTGCGATATTCAGACAATAGAAGATGGAAGCTTCATATATTTGGAAGATTTAGCAATTCTGGATTTATCTAATAATAAAATATCCACCTCAGCAATTAACAAGAAGGTTTTTGCTGTAAGTAATTATATACATAACATCACGCCTTTTATCCCCGAAGGGGTAGGCTTTTTTTTAAGTGCGGAAAATCATCGAATGACTTCTCCCGCTCGGGTGAGGAGAGAGGGAGTGTCAGACTCTTACTGACTAAAAATCCACCCCGTTCCTTATCTCCTGCACGTCGAGCCGGGAGCCCCGGTAACCCGTTAGGTACTCCGCGACGTCCCCCGAAAGGGTAGGCAGAGGTGTACATTATGCCAATGTACAATGTAACACCTACTTTTCACTATTTATGTTACGAGTCGCATATAATAGCGGTTGAGGCTATTGCCATATACCGGGCACAATTCCCGACTCCGTGCTACTACTGTGATTTATTTTAAAAAACCCAGCAATACTTTGATTGACCAGCGATCGCACTTGCGACCATTTGGCCAACGAGGCAGTAAGTAATTAATATTATTATTATGGGATAAGTCGGTAAACGAGCAGACGGATCACCTGATGGTAAGCAATCGGCGTCGCCCATGGACACCTGGAACACCGGAGTTGTTACACGTGCGTTACCGGCGTTTTGAGCATATGATTCATTGGATTGGGGAGATTGGGAAGGGGGTAGGTTATTGGGCCTCCGGTAACCTCACTCACACGACGAACGAAACCAATGCAAGCGTTGTTTCACGTCGGTTTTCTGCTCGGCCGTGGTATCACTCCGGTCGAGCCGACCCATTTGTGCCGAAGCATGGCTCTCCCACACTTAGAAGTTAACTTTGAAATCACCAACCCGCATTGAGTAAGCGTGGTGATTAATGTTCAAACCTTCTCCGTGTGAGAAGAGGCCTTTGCTCAGCAGTGGGCACTTATAGGCTGATGATGCTGTTCTTAATATACTTTTTTAAAATATGACTTTGTTTTTTACAGGGTCCTCTAGGCATACTTGGTCCAGTGAACTTCAAAAATATGCAGTATCTAAGTTTAGCTAATAACGACCTACACTCGTTGGCACAAGATCTATTTTTGTTTATGCCTGACTTGCTGCATTTGGATTTGAGTGACAATCCCCTAGCTTTCATAGATCAGGTCACTATGGGTGCTATTTCTGATTTGAAGTACTTAAGGGTAAGTACACCTTATGCAACATAACATAAGGCTTTGTATTCCTTGAAAGGGCTTTGAATATCTAAATGTAACGTTTACGATTTAACTGACTTCAAAAAAGGAGGTTTATACTTTCACCTGTATGTTTGTATGTATGGTTGGTTGTGCGTGATCATCTCACCATTGCCTGATCTGATTTTGATGTGGTTATAAATGTGTATATTACACTTGGAAGAAGGTCTTAGTATACAACGTGTTGTTTTAAAGCCGCGTCATTTTCTAGGAGGTAACTCGGCTATCGATTCTGAGTCCGAATCAATAAAAAAATTGTTGGTAAATATTTTTCATTTTTCTGTAAATTACGGAAATCCGTAAGTGCGAACTTCACGCCGACGTCTTGTTACTAGTTTTATTTCGCGGCTCAACACACACAAACTCAAACACGTAATTGATATTATTCCTAATTCCATAAAACTCCAATAAGAAACATTGCTGTCGCTTATTCTGAAATACTGTCGAACTTAAACGATTTATTATAGCCGTATTTTTAACTATTGGCCCGAAACTTTCTCTTACATTGAACCTTTATGACTTCTGTGACATGTCCCCGAGAAATGCCACGGTTTCAAAACTACACCTTGTATTAATTAACCGACTCCAAAACAAGAGGGGGTTGAAGTTGGTTTCACTTGCTATGCTATAAGCCTCATATATAGGTCCACAATGTGTATATTGTATACCATTTAAAACTCTGTAATTCTATTAAGATCTAAAAAAGAAACGTAGTTCATCAAATATAAAAAAAAACCTTTTCAAAACGCTTTCAAAAGCAATTTAAAATCAATAGTTTTATTTATATAGAAACTAGTTTTTACCCGCGGCTTCGCTCGCGTCACAAAAGGATAAAAAATAGCCTATGTGACCTACACACAGCGCCATCAATACCAATGATTTCGTTTTTCCTCGAGAATACCAATTTTTCCCGGATAAAAAGTACCCTATTATTTTTAATCCAGACTTCTAATTTACGTCTGCAAAAAATCAAAGCGATCGGTTAAGTAGTTACGGCGTGAAAGCGGAATAAACAAACAAACTAACTTTCCGATTTATAATATTAGTAAGGATGTAAATTAAAAATATCTCATTGCATATTCCAGGAGCTAAGACTAAGCAACTGTGAACTGGAGACGTTGCCTGATGGTCTACTCAGAAGACAGAGGAAATTACGACGTCTGGACCTAAGTAACAATAGGTTTACCACAATCCCAGCAGTCCTGAAAGAAGCTCCCAGTCTGGTGTATTTGAATCTGGATAGGACGCCTATACAGACATTGGATTCTAGCGCGTAAGTCATATTCTTTTGCGGTCTGTTCTAAGAGTGGTGTTAGATGTCAACAAAAATATTTGATCACAAGCTTTTGCGAGCAGCTTCCCCGTTCCCTTGGGAAAAAGTTGCCTATGTTTTATTTTACACCACAATCAACCTCTGTTCCCAATTAAATCCCGATCTCATCAGCTGTTTTGACAGGAGTATTTTTTTATACGATAAGTCGGTAAACTAGCAGACAGATCACCTGATGGTAAGCAATCGGCGCCTGAAACACTAAAGGCGTTAGAAGTGCGTTACCGGCCTTTTGGGAATTGGGAATTTGATGATTGTGGGAATTCAGGGATTGGGAAAAATGGAACGCAAGCGTTGTTTCTAGTCGGTTTTCTGCTCGGCCGTGGTATCACTCCGGTCGAGCCGGCTCATTCTTGCCGAAGCATGGCTCTCCAACATTTAAAAGTAAAGTTTTAAAATCACCAACCGGCATTGACTAAGCGTGGTGACCTTCTTTGGGAAAGAGGTTTTTGCTCAGCAGGCCAACACTTATAGGCCGTTGATATTGTCCGACACTTACAGCAAATACACACCAACTTTGCCATTTATAATATTAGTTAAAATAATTTTCCATTCTTCCAGGTCTTTAGGCAATTTGACAAAATTACAAGAACTAAGTTTAAGTAGGCTGAGTAGACTTCAGAACGTGTCAGCGGGGGCGTTAGCTGGTCTAGGTGACTTAGTCATTCTAAGGATGAACTACAACCCTAGACTGACTAATCTAGACCCAGATTTTCTGGTGTCGAAGAATGAAGATGATGAGGAGTTGTGGCCGAATCTTAGAGAGGTGAGTTGATGACAATGAAGTCGACTACCGTGCCCAGCTCATACTGAGTTGGCAAGCCCTTTCTGCATGGCTTGTTGCCACTATGTTGTTTTTAATATTGTTATCTATACAGATAAATAAAATAGGGTAGTTGCCAGGGAATGAAAATTAAAAATCTAATTAGTCCGTCAGTTAGATAATGAAAAAATATTAGACACGTATTTTTTTTATTTTCTCGTATAGTGTTACAATACTTAGATAAATTAAAGTTAAGTTTATGAGTAGGGAGTCGTTACGTCACTAAGTGCTACAAAATGTAGCGCATAGTGACGTCATTCGACGTATTTCAGATTAATATATCGTCGAAGAAACATTTATAGTCAGGAGCAAGATTGCTTGATAAAATTAATATATTATTTTTGTTTTTTTTTTTCAGTTATACCTAAATAACAATAATCTATCCACCATAGACTCTGGAATACTAGATAACTGGAAGGAGTTGGTGGCAGCAGACTTTTCAACCAATCCATTTATTTGTGACTGTAAGAATCAGTGGGTGGTCGACGTGCTTGTACCGTTGTTAGTCACGATGTCTGCTAACTCCACTATTAATAATATGGTGTAAGTATATCTCTAATTATTTCTTTTTAACAACATCATCTAATGGCTTCTCCCACCTTGGGTTAGGCGAGAGTGAGTGTCAGACTCTTAGTGACTAAAATCCACCCCGTTCCTACTCCTGCTCTTCGAGCCGGAGCCCCGGCAAACCGCTAGGCCTTCCGCGGCGTGATATCTCTTGCCTTGGGCGAGGCGAGAGTGAGTGTCAGACTATTACTGACTAAAACTTCCGCGGCTCCAGGTCATGTATCTTGGGCCCTATGTATGGAGATCTGATGGCTCTGTACGCTCGAGTCAGCTGTTGGTCGGGCGGCGATTCACCATCTGCAGTCCAGTGCTTATGGTGGCCGGAGATCGGCGCACGAAGTCCACTGCCTATTAAAGAGATCTCGAGTTTAAAGCCTAGGTCTAGCAAAGTTATACATATAAATTGAATATATACTACCTACTCATAGTGTAACAGATTAGGACTGGATGTGTCCACAACGAAATATAAAACTGAGAAAATGGGCGGGAACGCGGAGCGTCTTCGAACACGCTCACTCACTCAACGTTTCGGCGTCGACTGTTTGCGCGAGCGTGGGGCCCACTCGAGCGAACCGTGGGCGAGGCTTCGAATTTTGAATTTACAGCGTGAACGCGAATTCACTACGTTACCACCATTTTTCTTATCGCGCTACAAAGGAGGTTTTAATATAAGAGTTGCCTACATATAGAACTCGTAACTTAACTGCTTAAATAGAATCCTTACTAGTCCTTATCCTGACTAATATTATAAATCGGAAAGTGAGTTTGTTCCGCTTTCACGCCGTAACTACTAAACCGGTTGCTTTGAATTTTTTCAGACGTAAAGTTAGAAGTCTGGATTAAATAATAGGGTACTTTTTATCCCGGAAAAACTGATATTCTCGAGGAAAAACGAAATCATTGGTATAGATGGCGCTGTATGTATATGTCACATAGGCTACTGTTTATCCTTTTGTGACGCGAGCGAAGCCGCGGATAAAAGCTAGTGTTCAATAAATCAATAAAATAATGTCTGTTCTAATTTCCAGTTGTAAAAAGCCGGCCGAACTGAAAGGCTTAACGTTTGGCCAGCTGAACGAGGCCTCAAAAACTTTAGTCTGCTCCGAGGCTGAGAGTATCACAGAGGTACAGGTCTCCAATATGGCGATAATCCTAGGAATTATGATTGGTAAGTGCAAATATAATTGATATTTTAAGCAACTCAGAGCCGTACTAAGGCAAACAAGCCAATTGCCGACGGCGCCAGATTATACAGCACTGATTTACGGTAAAAATAAACATCACGTGATGCACCTGGGCTTATAATTTCTAATTATAAGTTTGAAATACCTTCGAATAGCTTACCTACATTGAACAAGCGTGGTGATTAATGCTCAAACCTATATATAAGCGTGCAAGAGCCATGCTTCGGCACGAACGGGCCGGCTGACCGGAGTGATACCAAGGTCAAGCAGAAACCCGACGTGAAACAACGCTTGCGTTATGTTTCGTCGTGTGAGTGAGGTTACCGGAGGCCCAATTACGGAGGGGATTCGGGAGACTACGGAGTCCGAGATTACGGATTCCGTACACTCTCGAATCCCCGAATCCTCCACAATCCTCAAATTTCCAATTCCCAAAAGGCCGGTAACGCACTTGTAACGCTTTGGTGTTTCGGGTGTCCATGGGCGGCGCCGATTGCTTACCATCAGGTGATCCGTCTGCTCGTTTACCGGCTTATGCTATAAAAAAAACCTTTTCCGCATGAAGAGGCCTTTGGTCAGCAATGGCCACTTTGATTGATTCTTGATGGTGATTAAAATAATGTTTTTTTTTTTAATTCCAGGTATAGTAGTAACCTTCCCAATGGTATTGGTGTTAGTTCTCCTATGGAGACGAGGGTTCTTCTCCAGGTTGAGAGAAGGCAAGCCAGACTATGATGAAGAAGCTGAAGATCTGTAGATATTTCTAGAAGATTAGTCTTAGTGGACTCGGGTATGTCCTAAAACTGCGACCAGCCACCGAGAGAAGAAAACTGAAATCCCCAACTAAATTTCCAAGTGTGGGGATTATGGAAAATCCTTCTATAGCGGGGATTTTGTTCAGCAGTGGACGTCTGATGACGATGTTGAAGAATATAGTGTCAAATGCAGAAGAAGAATATATTAAATGTAACACCCACTTTTCACCAGTTTTGTTATGAGTCCCATGTAATAGGGGGTGAATTTCAAGATTTGAAAAACCCTTATAGTTAGTTTGTCGAAGCGAGTAAAATAAATTCGGTATGTCAGATACTGAAGAGACAGAGAATAAAGTACTTACCTGCGTAACGTATCTATGTTTGTATCAAACTGAAATTTATGTGTATTTTGTGAATATATATTCTGTCAATGAAATGATCAAGATTTTTTGCTTTATTTGTCAAGAAACTACCAGAAACTACAAGAAACCTATCTATACCAGAGCTTCGGCTCGACGTGCAGAAGAAGGAACGGGGTGGTTTTTAGTCAGTAAGAGTCTGACACTCCCTCCCGCCTCACCCAGGCGGGAGCAAACATTCGATGATTTTCCGCCTTAAAAAAACCTAGATTTTTATAAGACAAGCCCGCCACAATCTCCCAAAATCACTGCAACTCCTGTAAGCCAGGATCTACAGTAGATACGACCATGAAAACACTGGAACACTGAAGTCCAGCGCGTCCCGACCCTACCTACATATACTTATAAAAATAAAACATTTGACGATTGCATCGATTTGATTAAATGTCCTTACACCGTGTTTTGAAGGGGAAAACTCTCTTACTGACTGAACATAACCACGTTTCTACTCCGGCTTTGAGCCAGAGCTCCGGTAACCCGCTAGGTAACGCAGTCTACCGGGTATCGGCCCTACTGAGCCCCATTCGTGGTGGTGTTATGGAATTTCCGTTACTACCACGATAAGATATTAACAATATAAAATTACGAATTCACCGAAAAATTCTGGAAAGAACGCAGAGTCGTATTATCCCTAAGGCAAATTAGCCAAGTGCCTAGGGCGCCAGGTGACAGAGGGGCGCCGAGACGCGTGTGCCTAAGAGACCCAAGAGTGGAGCGGCAAAAAAAATATTAGGAAACCTACGAGGTACTTTTTTCGAATTTAATCCACTTCTGAAATAATCTAACATCCGATCGGGTCCACTAGTAAAAATAAAACAAACTAGTAAAACATTTGTGTATTCCTTTATTAAAAAAACCAATTGACATCATAATTCCACTTAGTATTCTCATATCTTTTCTAGATTTCGTGTATTACTTTTTCTCAATGTCAGATCTGCCACACGCTTGCGAGAACTTGATGGCTGGATAATCTTTATCTATAAACAAAAAGGACCAAACTTAATTGACCAGTTATGGCCATTCTGCAAAGCATAAGAAAAAAAATCGAAATATTTAAGAATTAAAAGAAAGTCGTGTTAGTTACACTACTTATAACTCAAGATTGGCTTAATCAATATGGCTGAAAATTGGTGGGGAGGTAGCTTAGAACCAGGAGATGACATAAAATTATCCAAGAATTTCTCAAATATTCTCTGGGAACGGGGCAAACAGATTGCGCGTAGGGTCGCGGGCAAGAGCTAGCAAGTAATATTTCCGGGATAGGTAGCCTCCTCGGAAATGACGATAGTTAAAATATCGTGAGGAAACCTCGGCTTATAATTTTTATGTGAAACCCGCCTTGAGCAAGCGTAGTGATTAAGAGCTCCTACACATGAGCGGCATGTTGTCAACGGCAGACGCACGAGCGGTATATTGGCAACAACATACCGCTCTAAGAGCTCTGTGTAAGAGCTCTAACGCTCATTCCTTCTGAACAGTGACCACTTATAAGCTGTTGATGATGATAATGATGAAAGAAACCAGGGGGTTTACTCTTGAATCCAATTCCGATCGATCGACATTGGTATTGTGAAATTTCATACTCTCGAGTTGCAATACTAGCGCCTATTGCATCCAAATTGCGTGGATGAACTAAATGGTATTGAGTCTTTATATTCCGTACTCTGATTGCTATTTGAACAGCTACGATTGGGGTTGTATAATTTTGACATTGAATAATTATTGAGATTTTATTGGATTGAAATTGCATTGACATTGAGATTGGTTTCAAGAGTAAGCATCCAGGGATGTAGAAAATTGTTTCTTCTTTGAGTATGCACTTGTTATAATAGGAAAATTACTTACTACTCATTAAAATATTTCTCAAAAACGGTGGCGCAATGATGTTCTTTATTTTTCTCCTGTAACAGGCTAACCTAAAACAATATTAGATAAATGAATCAGAGTTTAACTTATAGACAACTAGGTACTAATTACTTAACATCAGCTGGGCCGTGTGCTTTTCTTGCCACTATCGTGGCATAAAAAATGTATTGAATAGGTTTAAGTGTGGGGAGCCATGCTTCGGCACGAATGAGCCGGCTCGACCGGAGTGATACCACGGTCTGACAGAAAAACCGGCGTGAAACCACGCTCGCGTTGTATTTCCTCTTTCTCTACCCTAAATCCCCCATTCTTTAAATCCTCATAATCCGCAATGCACTTGAAACGCCTCTTAGAGTTGCAGGTTTCCATAGACGGCGCTAATTGCTCACCATTGTGAGGATTACGAAAAATGCAATCAGGGACTCAGAGGTTAGAGGTCTGTATAATTATTTATTTTAAAATGAAGTAGGTACCCTTTAGGTAATTCGTGCGCTCATTTATCGCCCTATACTATAAAATAATAATATC